CGCTGTAATCAAAGGATTACACTGGCGGGTACCCGGCACCGGCTCTGCCTCCGAGTCAGCCTCTGTTTAACTCGACCACCCCGCGCGGAGTGGGCTGTAATCACCATCGTCCACCGCTCTCCTTGTTCGAACACTTTCAACCCCCTTAACCGACCGGTTTTCGCCCTAGTTACTCTTCCTGCATTTCTCTGGCCGAATGGACTTTCTTCACCTTGTTGTATTGTTATATATATGCGTACCAGTGATCAGGAAAACGTATTAGAGGGAGATAATTGTAGGGAGGGAAGGGGTTTTTTTTAAATTCTAATTGTTAGAGAATTATTAGTCGTTATTAATTGAGTTTCCGAATGATAAAAATTGTTATGGAAAGAGAGAGAGAGAGAGAGAGAGAGAGAGGGAGTTTCTCTATAACAAGAATGAAAAATATAACGGCGGGAGTGTCGTTGAAATATTATTGTATCGAGGTCCACCGAATTTCGTACCGGTCTCGTGCACTCGTACTAATTATATCGTGATAACGAGGCTAATTTGGATCCACGCGAGACCGTTCCGCACTTGTGCGCTTATAAAGAGAATAGGATTATAAATAGAAGTAGTGGAGACACAGCGAGAGTGTAAAGAAAGAGAGAGAGAAAGAGGAAAGAGAGGGAGGAACCGCAGGGAGAGCAGCTGAAATTCCTCTAGCGTTTCTACAACATCTCTTCCCTATTATTATATGCCGTCGACCTGCAAATTGTAGAAGCTTTCTCCCACCATTACGTGATTAACGCACATACTGGCATACGTGATATTATCTGCGTTTAAGGCTCCGAATAGAATTTGCCAAGACAACCTCTGCGGGCATAATAGTCCCTCTTGTTCCGTTTCTCGTTTTTCCTTCTTATTATCTCCGGCTAAATCGAACCAGCCAAACGTCTATTCCCTACCTACAGTTAATCCTCTTACGTATAACACGGTATATTATAATCCAAACGAATGAAATGAAAACAGAGTGCAAAAATAACTCTTATAACGCATTTCCATTTAGCATTGTATTAATAAACTTGGAAAATTCTCATGGACAAGTGTATTTTTTTTATTAATTATTTTCCAACACATTCCCTTTATTTATTATTATTGTACGCGAATTCTAAGTTTCATTTGATAGAATATCCCATGCAATATCTCTAATTTCGACATTGTCATGGCTATTTTTGTGATTATAGTAAAATTTTCTCGATACTCGATCATATTTTCCATTATTCGATTAACAAAGAATCGATTAGTCGAGTTATTGGAAGGACGAAATAGCTCGAACGTTTATCGAGTTACGAATGGGAGGGAGGGAGGGAGGGGGAGGGGGGAAAGGGGACTATCAAGCGCAAAAACTCGAACGTGCATCGTGCTCGTGGTTCGGATGGTTCTTTGAGCTCGTTAGGGAACACCGTGCCGAGAATTATTTATTTTCTGCTTGACCAAACTGCCTCCCTCCCTTTCAGGTAATTATTTACACACCCTGACCGATGGTCAATTATACAGCCAATTATTTCCGGGCACCAGTCGACTTAATTACGGGATTTGTGATCGTGGAATTTTTAGATCGTAACTAACTTGGATGGGATTGAATTTAATTTGACGGTGGGCGGACAACATCGAAACTGATTGAATTTTTATCCGGCTTCTGCTCCCTTTCTGTTCCCCTTTTTGTTCCCGCCAACTTTCGCCAAGGAATGCAATTTTTTTTCCCTTTGTGGAGAAAAGAAAAAAGGAAAAAAAAAAAAAAAAGAAAAGAAAAATTCGAAAGTTGCCAATTCCATTCCAAAGATTACTCGAGCAAAATTCACTATCGACACACGTTTGGTGTAGACTTTTACAGTTCGACGAGCTCGATTCTACGTCGTTTTTCGTCCGGAATTCACCGGCTTTTCGTGGAAGCGCACTTAATTCAGTTTCAAGCGCGAAGGATTATTGCGCCCGGAAAATATAGAAGTTGTACTCTGATGAAAATTTCAATAGTTCCATAATGAGTTCCAAGCCGTTGATAATTAATTCGGCAAACTTATATTCCACGACCGAGTTAATTTCCGGCCACGCAAATTAGGATTTTAATCAAATCTTGGGGGATCATTCCGACCTGAAGCCGGTCTAACGTAACAAAAATGCCAATTAAATTCAACGGAATATCGTTACACCTCTCCTCCTCCTCCTCCTCCTCCTCCCCCTGGCTAATCATCTCCCACGGGGGGAGGGGGGAGAGCTCACAGTTTCAAACATTCTTTTACGACCACTCGTTTGCTTCTCCAATTACCCCACTTCATCTTACGAATTTTACAATTTAAACTTTCGGACTTTTACGATTATAAACTTCAATCCACTTCGATTTCAATTTATTCAGTTAACGTAGTTCCGTCTAAATATTCTTCAATTTCAAATTTCTACGTTTTGATCACCACCACGTTTCCAATCCCTCGAAGTGGGCACGGTTAAACTTTTAAACCCTTTGAGGAGGATCAATCGCGATCACGTTCATCGTTTCGTTTAGGAAACGTTAACAGTTTCCTCCAATCTCGAATATCTCGATATTCGATATCTCGAATGAGGAGAAATACGGAGAAATGGAGAGATCGTCGAGCGTTTTCGCCTTCGATAATGCGTGCCATGCGGTGCCAGGGGTAATCTTTGTCGCTCGTTAACATCGTCGTAACCAACGAAACTTCCTGCCAACACAACTGAACGGAATCACCGTTCTTCCGCGCCGAAAGTTACGCTTACCTCGTTGTCCGATCATCCTTTATCGATTTTGTTCCTTTGCGCGAATAAAAAGAGAGTCGAAAGTTTAATTGGAATTTTTCTTTTTTTTTTTTTTTTTTGGCGAAGTTTGATACTAAATAACGATCACCAGTGACGCCGAATAATCGAATTAATCGTTCGTGAACGGATAATAATCGAGAAATGATACGAGATAATTCTTTGGATTGGTATCGAGCGATTCCAAAAAATCGACATTCGACGGACGAATCGGAACCCATCAGAGTATAAACTCGATTGAAAAACACATGCTGGTTAATAACGACGTACAAAAAAATCGAACAAATTCGAAAATTGAAGAGGGAAATGTATCAGGTTACGATTTAACGATGCCAATTTTTGAATCGGATTCTTGACGAGCTTGGTTTTTTATTCCGCGGGATCTGTTTCCAAATTGATTGCGGAAATATTCGAACGAACGATTGTTACAGACTTCCATTTCGAGACTAAATTGTCTTCGTCGATGGATACGCGTGGAACACTCAGAATAATAGAAACGATTCGTGAAATCTAAATATTTTGAAATGGCAACAGTAGGATTAATTCGGTCTCTAATATTTACAACTCGAACGATGAAATCATAATATATGATTTGTTTATATCCCCAAATTGAAATCTTCAAAGTAATAACATCGATTCGCAAAAATGATTATGGAAATAATGTTTGTATTCTTTCGATCGATTGAACCGATGAATAAAATGGCATCGAATTAATTACGTATCTAATACAAATAGTATTTTTCGATTTTTTATAACAATCGAATAACCATAACTTTTTCCCCTTTTATATTTAATAAAAAAAAAAAAAAAAAAGTCAACGTTACGATCGATGACAGAATGCCCCAAAATATTACACTTTTATATCATCGGATAAAAATATTCGTTAAAGAACACCATGTTCGATAAATCTCATTTTTCCTCCGATAGATGATAAATACGCGTTATCGATATTACTTTCAAACCACATGCTCTCCACGATAGCTCTCCATCGATTCCTTCTTCCTCTTTCCTTCTTCTCGCCCTCCCTTTCCATCCTCATTGTCGTCCACGGGGCAAAGAATTTGTGTCCGACCCGGGGATGGCACCATTTCTATTCATCTCGAAAAATAAAGGCGTGCCCGATCGCGAGCCCCGATAACCATGAATATTTTATCCGCATAATATCTCGTCGCGCACCACCCCCGCACGTTCACACGTACGCCGGTACACGTGTCCCAATCTCCCTCTCACCATTCTTTCCTCACCCATTCAAGCCATCGTGCGACTCGTCTAGTATCCAACCTTCGTGCCCACCAACCCGTTCTCCGTACCAATGCCCGATGGCCAAAATGAAAAATAATTCGTTTCAACGCGTACCGTCAGCGATGGGTATAAATCCGATACGAATTCGAACAATAATAATATAATTCGAGTGATAAATTAAACCACGAGATTTCGATTTTTCTCTTTTTCTCAAAATAAAGTAATTAGAGTGTTAGTTTGTGAAACTTGCTCGCGATAAACTCGATCCCATCGCTGGACGCCACAGAGGAACAAACACTGCTTTGGCTCGCGGCTGTATTTCGGGCGATTTTGTGCACTCCGCGCGGGACTGGCAGCTGCGTGGGCGTTCTATAAATGGGTTCTATGTCAATCCGGAGCTTAATTTAATGTTTGGAACCATGGAAATGAACGTTACCCTATACTGCTCCTACTATTAATCTTTCCGTATCGATATTTTTTTCTTCTTCTACCATTTAATCTCCCTCTTTCCCCCCTTCTCTCTCAAGAGAACTTTCGCCAACTTCCTCCAAAAAAACGCGGGGAGGAGCAACAGGAAGGGAAAGAGCGAGAGGAAGAAGAGAGAGAGCGCGTCGAAAACGCGTCGAAAAGCGGATCGGTTTCACGAACGACACGCGTTAATGCCCAATAAACTCGAGCAGATGATCGGCATACGGCTTCTTCCACGCTCGTAGCCCCCGCAGACATTCTCCCACACCATAGACACGAGCTCTCTCTCTCTCTCTCTTTCTCTCTCTCTCTCTCTCTCTTCACAGCTCTCTCGAGTGGTTGTGATCCACGAGCGGAGCTAGTGTGGCTCACGCACGCACGCCGCGCGTACTACGAGCGCCGCTTTGTCACGCGTGCCGTTTCCTCTACGGTGTCTGCGTACGGTGCCCGTCTCCCTCGTCTCTCACCTAAGTTTATTGTTAGAGGGGCCGGCTAGCCGCGGACGGGGCATCAGGATTTAGTGCTTCTTACACGCCCATACCGGTACCACGCGCCCATATGCACGCGCTTCTCTCCCTTCACCGATCGATCCTCCTCGCCGATCGATCCACGAAGCGAATCCCGCTCGCGGCAGTGCAGAAGACGTGCGGACCTCTGTCGAGCGTGTAACGCGATTATTCCTCGATTCCCGATCGATCGATTCACGTGCCGCGATTCGCGAAAAATTCGCGGGGAATTTTCGTCGGCGTTGTTGACGGCTGTGCTTCTTTTTCTTCTTCTTCTTCTTTTGTCATCGGAAAGGGGTGCAAGTGATTCGAGGAATGTTATCCGGGTGACAGGCAAGTTTCCCCGTAATGCCGGAAATTCGAGTGGAATTCGCGAGTATAAACAGACATCGAGGTAAACCAGCTCTGTCTTCTTCCCTCTTCTTTTCATTGCTTCGTTTCTCCATCCTCGTTTCGAAGAAACGATATATCGATTACGATTATTCGTTTCTCCTCTTCTCTCTCCGCTCGCTTTTCGACCGCAAAAAAAAAAAAAAAGGAAAGAAAGATAAAAGAGAATTCGCGTTAGCGGCGGGATAACGAAGGGATAGAAGGTTTCGTTTCTGTCGGATGACGAGGCTGATGCTTTTCACGGGACATTCGACTTGGCCAGGTCGAATGTGAAAAACGCGAAATTAGGATTTCGAGGACACCGGAGTGGAGTGGAACACGAAAAACCAATTGCACGAGCGGTCGAGTGGCGAGGTGATGAGCCGGGATGCGCGGTGACTGCGAAATAGGGGAGAGATCCGGGGGAAAATTGGCGGTATGGAAAGGGTGCAACGCGGCTACTTCTTTGTGCAAACACGGCTCGCGTCGAAGCGCAGTCGTTGGGAAAACAGCAGGGTCGAAATAAAATTCGCGGGCAAAAGTGAAATTTACACGGTCGGGCGGCCGCTCGGCCTCCCCGTTTGGTCTTATCTTTCCATTTTTTCCCGTCTGGGGAACGAGAATTGCAACAACTTCGGCTATTTCCATTCGTACAAAATTTCGTCCGCGTTTTCCGGCATTCCGACGGAAAGAAAAATCGAAACGACGTGGAAGAACAATGTGGTAGAAAAAGGAAGAGGATTCTTTTCGCTCGAGAAATTTTGCGAAGAAACTTTCTATCTTCTTTGCCCTTCTTTAAGCGTGTATCACTTCCTCTTCCTTAAAATTATACGACCCGCAAATCAGAGGGAAACCCCCCTTTTGATTTCTTCCTCGCCCAATTTCGGTCGTTTCGCAACGCATTTTAACCTTGCCCTCTTTCCGCTCCGCTAATACATCTCTAAACCCGGTCGCGCCACCCTCCCCTTCTTCCTCACTCTCTTTCATCTCCCAAAGCCCTAATTAACTTTGGTAATTATGTGTACGCCCGGACAGAAGGGTTTTGCACTCGCTCCACTCGAAAGGCGACGCGCGGCGCGCGCGGAAGGAGCAAAGAGAAGATGGAGAAGATGGAGGAAACGAGAGGGCTAATGCAGAACGATGCACGCGCGAGCTGCCGCGCAACCGAGCTTCGCCACCGTCGAACCAGAGAATTCTCTATAAATAGCGCGCGAAAGGAGATCTCGTGAGATTTGACAGCTCTTGACGAGCGCTCGTTCCAATGGATATGCCCGTTCCGCGAAAACGAGGGTTCCGCTCGGTCCCTCGACGCTCTTCTTTTTTTTTTTTTTTTTTTCCATGGAGGAACCGCGTTTATTCCGATTTCAAAAGGGATCTGCTCAACCGCCGCCTGCCTCCTGCTCTATCGATCCGTGTATCTCTTCGCGGAAAAAAAAATTGGGATCTATCTTTCGACGATGTACAATTTTTTTTCCCTCCCCCGCGAATCTGCACAGCCCGCGTTCGTTAATTTTTCACGACGAAACAATTTTCGAAGGGGACGAAACGAGGCGCGCACGATCCCCAGGAAAGGGGATTAAAATTCAACGATACGAATTTATGGTCGGGACATTAACCTCTCGTTCGAATTTTTCTGTTCTTCTGATAGGGCGAGGATACACGCGGTGTATCGCGATGTACAATCCTTTGATTTTAATTTACTCTTGAAATTACGCCCCCTCTCTCCTCGTGGCCATATAGCTCGCGCGTCATACGTTTATTACGAGAGAATACGGGGCCCAGCTTTCCGTTCTCCAGCTTTTACGCTCCACACCTGTGCATCGTGTAATTTTCACCCTCCTCTCCGGATATCTTCAACCGGTGGGATGTCGTACGTTTTAAACACGCCCACCGCCCCACCGAACTATGGGAATTCTCCTTTTCGAATTGCATTAACGTGCCGTCTTAGAGAAATTATCTCCTCTATTCCACGTTAGAAATTTCAACGCGATCGCCTTGGTTTCGCATAACGACTCGTATTTTCTTAGAATGTTTGCTCGCCGCGAGATGGAGAAGGGTTAAAAGTTAAGCTACGTGAAAAAAATAAGTCGAATAAATTGTGAAAACGTTTTATATTCAGATTGAAAATTCGTAAGTTTGGCGTTTACGTTTTGGATTAATTTTTATTACATTTTAGTATATACGGATATTACTTGTAATAATAAGTGTTCGATTCATATTCCGCGTTTTTTTACGGAATAACAACGCGCAGTTCCATACATGGAATTTTATTTAATTGTTCATTAATAGATAACGATTGTTTATTCACTTATGGAGATTCGAATGGGCGAACGTGTACAAGAGCGTTTATAATGCATATACATGTATGAAATATCTAAAGTGGAGTTCTCATTAAAATATTTAGTACGCAAAATAAATCATATTCGGTTATGTATTAACGAAACAATGAATTTGTATAAACATCAGCAATCTATTCATCGTGCGCAATATAATATAATGCGATATAATAGAGAAGATTAAAATATATCAAATTTGATGCAATTTTCAATTATCCGTTAGCCGTAGACGTAAATGGTATTACATGTAAATGTACGCGAGCTCGGCGAACTTTCATCGATTTATTCGGAGAAGAAAAAAAAAAGTCTCGTATGAAAAATATTACTCCACGTATTCGACTTACTTTTTCATGCAAATTCACACCCTTTGGGAGGTTAACGCCACACAATTTCACTCGAAATCGAATGCAATTTTTTCCCTTTCTTTTTTTCTTTCTTTCTTTTTTTTTTCTCTTTTTCTTTCAGAAATTAGATATCTCGGCACACGTCAACAATTTATAACTAAGGGTAGAATTTCTTCGCGTCGGGAGACGCGAGTTAACAAGCCTATTTAATTAATAATACCTCGCAGGGATAATTTGCGACCGACTGTCTGGCATCAGCATCGTCATTGTTCTCGCCGGCGACCCTTCACGCCGGTTTTCATGGCGCGGCTTTAAAAATTGATCCACCGATGTCCCCAGACGGCGTCGAGCTCCAACCGGCAGACCGTAATTTTTCTGACGACGTTCTAAAATAAATATAAGACACGTATGAGCCACCGTAGAGAGTACGCTACGCCCTCGATACGGTAAATCAAATTTTATCGGTGGTACATCGCACTTTTTTCAAGGGGACGTTTTAAATCAATGATGATTTATCGAGCATCCCAGAGCTCTCTCTCTCTCTCGACTCTCCGTACTCTCGATGAGTGACAAATGACTGTATTTATAGAAAGTTGATCGAAAAATTGCGCGACATCGAGGCGACACTTCTGCTACAGAGCTTTCCACTTCCCTTCCTTTCGAGTTTCCAACCTTTTCGCAATTTTTACTATTATCCCGCGCTCCAAATGCGATCTTCTCGCGTCCCCGTTTCTCACCGTGCGATGATTGATCCGGAAATTTTCTGGAAAAAGAAAGAAATTAGTTCAAAATTAGTATGGAATAAATCAGAGGGGGATAATTTTCGAAAATATTTCAAAGGAGTCGCGTGGAAAAAGAAAGAAAATAAAAGTAAAATCGTTCGATCGTTAAGATTCACGACACCGGGTTCTCTTTACCCTTTCGTCCCTTTCATCCCTCTTAGTAGTCACGCATAAAATCGTCGCGTGTGTCGCGTCGTGCAATTGTGCTGCACGTGCAATTTAACGTTCCTCGCCCCGAAGAAAACGTTTCCATTCTCGAGAACGGAATAACTTCGCCTCGACGTGACAAGTCGTCGTCGTCGTCGTCGTCGTCGTCGGGGATGTTCGTGCCACCGACACGATGGGAAGAGACACGGTTACAATCCGCCGACAGTCTGAAGAATTAATTAAGACGATGTAATTACCTACTTGGATCCGTTTTAATTCGAATCTAGCCAAGTTGATCCGTGCCGGTAAACTGTGTTTTCACACCGCGCCTTCCCACTTAGCGCCAATAAATGCATAAGGATTTTGACACTGATGAGGATTAATTCAATAAGGGGGAAACGAGTTAACCTATTTTCTCTACAAAATATATAAATCTTTGAAACGATTTCCGTTTTTCATTTCACAAAAACTGCACGTCAAATTAAATTCTGTTCCGTTGAACAGAAACGATGTTCGATATATCGATGGATTTTTAATCAATTTCGTATATTTTTCTTTTTTTTTCTTTTTATATATATATAATATAAAAGGAGGAGAAAATTCTGATTTCCTTTTGTATCCAGGAAATTTGATCCGAGTGATTCGTGTCAGCAAATCATCGCGACACAATTCCATCAAGCTCAACGTCCACCGGTTCGTTTTTACGGTATTATCGTTCAATTTTCACGACAGACGTTTAGATTCAATTAACCTTGCGATAGCGAGCCGCGTATTAAACTCAAACACCTGGTATTTTATATTCAAACATCCTGCCGCTGCGTGTCGCTTTCGAGAGAGGGCCATCGGGGAGGGAGGAAAAGAAATAAAAAAAAAAAAAAAAAAAAGGATGGAACGAAATTTAATGACGAAAAATAATATCCCACCGATTCCCCGAACGATTTTCATTTTTCAGAAGCGGCAATCTAATCCGGAACTCCTCGTATCGAACCTCGATTCTATCCAAGTTACCCGCGCGATACACCCGCGGGTAACTGGAAAGGCGCGACGACGACGAGGACGACAACGACGCTGGCACGTTTTATTAAGAGATAAAAATGCAGTTAAAAACTATTACACCGGGAGAAGCCACGCGTCGTTCTTGTAAAGGAGCAACGTTGGAGGAAGATTCCGCTAGATTCCCCTGTAAACTGCATCCTGCAACTTTTGCCCGGGAGCACATCCTTAGGTAAATGAGCTCTTATCTCGAGCTTCGCAAAAAGCGCCAAGTGTACACACCGTCCTTTCGCGCGCGCCTAACTATACACACCCACACACACGAGCACGCCAAATCCATCGGGCTTGCTTCGAGTTCTTTAACCAGTTATCCGCGGTTATCGTGAATAAAAAGAACGAAGAAGAAAAAGAAGAAGAAGAAGAATAATAAAAAGAAGAAGAAGAAGAAGAGGCTCGAGTGTACATAACCATATAGTAACAGTGTTGGTGCAGTGTTCGTTCAAAGTGTCCATACGATGCGAACCAAGTGAAACGAGCCATTTCTAAAAAACCTCTCCCCCTCTCTTCATCTGTGTGTACGCGTCGTGTGGTGGCCCCGTGTGCATGGTGGAATGTTAGTGGCGGAAAGTCGGTTCGTTTCGAGTTGGTTGCGAAACCCTTTGTCACGCAGGGACAACAACAGGGAAGGAAGAAGACGGGAAGGAAGAAAGGAAGGAAGAAGGAAGGCGTGGGGCGTGGAGGAGGGATTATTAAAGCGGCCGGATCCTAATCCGGTTGCGTTGCTCGAGTTTACGTGGCCGAGGCGAAAACTATGCGGCACGAGGCACGATGATGGGGCCAAGAATCGGTGGTGGCCTACCGAGCGGGAAAAAGCTGGACCTGTGCCAGCAGCCGCGTCACACTTGGACAGTGTTGCTGGTGTATTTGGGCATCTGCGCCTTGCTGCCTGTCACGATTCTCTCCGGTTGGTATATTCGATCGTCACCTTACTCTCTTCTTTTTTATCTTTCTTTCTTTCTTTCTTTCTTTCTTTCTTTTTGCGCTTCCTGCGCTTTCTCTTTCTCCTACATTTTTGCGCCTCTTGTCCCTTCTCTTCCCTCCCCTCCGCCATGCGACGCGAGAGTGGAAGAAGAGAGGAAAAACACGGAAGAAGGGAATTCTAGAATTTTGAAATTCGCGTTAGCGGTGTACCGATTCGTTCGCCGGTTGAAATTTCACTCCGGTATTCCGATAGTCGCGAGGCGGAGGGGTGAAGATCGATAAAAAAAAAAAAAATCTCTTAAAATGATTTGAAATAATTGGCCAGCTAACGCGGGGGATCCAGTTTCAGCTTGATCATTTTTGATATTTCACAACGTGTGCACGAAATTTGATACACGCGTTTATTAGCTTCATTGGCTTTATCGGTATCGATATTCTTTCCATTTCTATCGAAATGAAATTTAATATAATTTTCGTATTGTTTTCTTTCTTTCTTTCTTTTTTTTTTTTTTTTTTTTTTTTTTTTTTTTTTTTTGATTTTATTCCATCCACCTTTTAACGGGCACGTTAAAAATTAATACGATCCGTATTGCGAAAAGCGAACGTATTATACTCGAAAGCTAAAACCGTTTTATTTTAGAAATGTTGCGTTTTATTTTAGAAAATGGGCGGGAAAAAAAAATAGAAACAGGGACGACGAATCGCCGGCATGGAAATAATGGAAAGTTTTTCCCGCATCCCGAATACCACGATATGAGAAAGATTTCTACCTGAGAAATGAACCGCATAAATCACGATACGCTCATCAAGCCTCGCGTCGACTCAATTTTGCCAAACTTTCCCCACAAATCTCGTTGGGGGAATGGCCGCCTAGGCGTCGCCATCTCCATCTTTTTAAGAATTCTTCCAACTCTCGCCGTCTCCCGTGACGAGTCAATTTTTAGAACGATAAAAATGTTTTTTCTATCCTATCTTACACGATGACAGTATCTCTTTACGTAACAATAACAAAGGGAACAAATATTCGAAGGATAATTGTGTTTTGAGAATCGTTCAACTCTTCTCTATTTAAACCTCTATCCCTTTTTTTATATCGAGATATTTGTACACACGAATTTAAAGCATGCGTTTAGAACGTTTCTTCGATTCTGATTCTGTTAAGTAAATATTTTACTTAACAGTCGTATTTTTTCCCCATTTTTTTCTCCATGCGTATTGCGATATCTCAAATTCTGTATTATATTAGAAAATGTATACGTAGATTTTGTATGATTCATCCCGAATTATTCATTTCCTAAAAGAAAATATCAAAAGGCGAGAAATTTTAAACTAAAATTCTAAAAATCGAAACTCTGGAGTGGTCAAGAGGCTAACCACGGATCGCGAGTGATCTCGTGACTGAGTAAATTTAGAGTCGGTGATATTCAAATGACTGGATGGAACGTCCAGTTTCCACATTTTTTTTTTCTCGTCGGGGGAGGAGGGGATCGATTTTTGTTAGTCGAGAGGCGGCAATCCACGTCGCAATCATCGAAATTTCATTCTCTGCCAATTAACTGCATTTCGCGTTCCAATCTAACGTCCGATAATTAATGTAGAGAATTTTAATCGACATTGCGCCCAATTCGATTGGACGCATTAACGAGCTCTACACACCGACCGCCCGAAACTCGTCAACCCCCTTTTCCCGAAAACCGTTTGTTGAGCCAATCGAAAACTTTCATCCTGCTTCGTGAATCCGTTTTCCAACTGCGGAACAATGCAGCTGATCCTTCTTTCAAAAATAGAAATCCCGCCCTCGATTCGCCCGCGTCGAATTATTGGTTTCGCGCGAATATATACGGAAATTAATTGGAACTGCGACGATGGAATCGTGACAAGTTTCGCGACAAAGCTATAATTTCGCTTTGTTTCAAACGAGGGAGAAAGAATCGAGTTTTAAAATATATCCCAAAGATCTCCCCCCCCTTCGAACATTTTATCCCCCGATAAATTTCGTTCGAAAAGTTTCCGATCGATCCTTCGAGTGTTTCACGGAAGCGAAGATCAACGATCGAAGACAACGAGAGTTTGAACCGAGACTGCCAAATTGCAAGTCGTATCAACGATTACCTTGTAATTGTCTACATCGACCGTGTAGACGCCAAGGATTTGTAAGGCAAAATTAAATTTCTCCCGCTATATTCCATTACGTGGATGTTATTCCGCCTCGACCGTCCCACGATTCTTCGCCATTGTGTTTCTCCACCGCATTGTTACTAAATTTTGACAATTTAGTCATGCGGCCGACCGTGAAATTGAATGTTTGCTTAAAAACATACAGGCAGACATACACACATACGGGTTTTATCCCATAAGAAATTGTCCACCCCGGTTTCGTCGGTTTGCTCGCAATTTTTTGACGTTTTTTTAAGAACGATCATTGTTCCTTTCGAGAAAGAAATTGCGGATGAGAAGATGTTTCTGGACCGTTTGAATGAACGTTTCTATTCGAAGAATTTTCTCGTGATGGTATTCGATTTTTAATTATAAATTACCATTTTTTAATAAACCGAATTTTGTATGTAGTAACAAATTTTTACGGCACGTTTAGAGAATAAATATAAAAATATCCGTCGAGTTAACGATAGAGCTCCAACTTTTTTTTGCAAGAGAAACATTTTTCGAACAATTTTTTAAAGCGATGAAACAGAACAGTTCGTACCTCCACGCACGTCGGGAAAATCATACCCGGGTTTATAAAAATATTGTATCCTATATCAAATAAATTTAAATAAACATCATCCCATCGTAGAGTTCAATTAATTTCCTGATAACGAAATAATAAATTAAACCGACAATGAGTTTTAATTTTAAAGAATAATGAAAGCTCGGTTTAATCCCATTTAATACTAAAACAACCAAACCCGTCAAAATGACGGATTTCATATTTTGTTTGATAATTTTTGGCAAAATTAATATCGTATTTTATTGAGATAAAAATTTAATTACGTACCACCATTTTATTTTTACGTATAATTTTATCCTATCGCTTTAAATGCGTAAATTCGTTTATCAAATAAATCGAATAAATACTTTACTCCTCTTGCGTCGAAAAGTCAAATTTTAAAGTCGAAGAATAATTCTTTCTCTTTCTTCACGAGAAAAAAAAAAAAAACCGAGGCAGAATCACGACACGTATCAGGGATGAATTTATTTTCGAAATAAGACCGGCTTCGTGTCCACGTTTTTTTCGCGGAAACACCCGGTTTATGACACGCACGTGTTACCATAAACGTCCGCCCCCCGCAGCAAGGGGCGAGGTTACACGCGGCAATTCCGAATGTGCCGGGCTGCATAAGTACTTCCGTTAAATCTGTGTCAGAGAAAACAAAACGCCCGACAATTTCTTTCCCTCCCCATCCCATCCTTTCCATCCGATCCAACTTGCACGTTTCTTTGTATCGCCGGGCACAATTAAAAGATAAAATCGAATTAAAGTCCCGTTTTTACGTCCCGTTTTTTTAAACGGTCACGTAATCACGCCTCTAGCTTTTTAATTAAATCGGAAACGTTGGGATCGCCGAAAGTTCTCTTTTATCCGCTCTTCTCCCCTCCCATCCCCTCGTTCGATGCAATGCAATGGTATCGCCTATTTCGAAACGAGATAAAATTCAGCGAGAGATATTAACGATTTTGGTGAACGAATCAAAATCATGGTCATGGATAAATTTAAGGAAAGTTAGCGAGATTAAGCGAAAAAGAAGAAAAAGAAGAAGAAGAAGAAGAAGAAAAAGAAGAAGAAGAAGAAGAAGAAAAAGAAGAAGAAGAAGAAGAAGAAGAAGAAGAGTTTCGTTATACACGAAATGTTGCTTCTCGTTAGTCGACGGCATCCCCAGCGGATAGTAAGTAGTATTTACCCGCAAGTAACGTAACGGTGTGATATTAGTTCTCGAACGGAGTAGCGGAGTAGTATTCGAACCGACGCCCAGTGCGAACCAAACATCTGGTTTCGCCGGTGTAAACAGTTGCATCTGAGGCCTGGTTTCGTCGTTCTTAAACGAGAACACTGAGCTAAAGCAGCGCTCGGAGATAGCTGCACAAATAATCACGCGATCTTTTGGGGGTCTTTTGCCATTTTCTTCCATCGTCGAAAATTCGAGATGAAAATTTTATCTCCAAAGATTATCGATAATTTAAAGATGAGAGGGAAGGAACGAAGGAGAGAGAGAGAGAGAGAGAAGGCTACCTTTAATTCGAAACAATAATCCCGTTTAAAAACGGGAAGAGGCGTAGACATAAGCGTCCGGGAAAAATGTAAATTAATAAATTTAAAAGTTAAATAATTCCCGCAAGTTTGGTGTCCCGATGCGCGGTCGTGGGGGAGGAGAGGGTTGCTTGAAATTCAGAAAAACCGAGTGACTACGTCCCTACTGTAACAGCGGCACAACTATTTATACGTAAATAATGTAACAGGGAGCGTCGAAACGTTAGCCACCTCTTATCCGTGTCAGTTTAGGGAAATTAGTTTTGGCGAAAACTTCCCCCTCCGTTACATATTTAATTTTTCCACGGTTGTTTGCGAAAACTCCACCCTCTCCCCCTCTCCTCCCCTCTCATGCGAGGGTAAATTTAATACGCAACAGGGGGTAGTTGTGCCCTCGAAAACCCATACGCGAGAATTTTAACAAGGAGAGTTTCATCGAGTATCGCGTTGTGTCGGTGGTATTTCGCGCTTTTAATTTTCGTCTTTGCTCGCGTTTCTTTTATAATAAACACACAAGGAAGAGACAAGAATTTTCATCCGCTCGTTCAAAAATCATCTTTTCATCATTTCATCTTACGTGCAATGCTAGGAATATCGAGTTTCCTGCGGGCAAGGAAAGCAATTAACGTTGCTGCTGACTGGACTGACTTCGAACCCCTAATCTGTCTCTCCTCTTAATCATACGTACTCTTTCTCTGTCTTTATCTCTGCTCTTTTTTTTATTTTTCCTCTTCGCG